TCATTGTAGTCCACCTTCTCCTTCTTGAGGGGCTAGCCATAGCCTCTTCAACTTGGCGACAGCAAAAAAATGCAAGCTGCAACTTGACATTTTGTTTGCCCGAAATTGATGCTCGCCTCGTGGATGGGACGCCTCTGGCGATTTTGGAGGAAACACGGATGGCGTCGATTGAATGTGGTGACGATTTCGACTTCAGCATGAAGTTTCTCGCGACAATATTGGACGGCTGTGACGTGCTGCTAGGACGTGATTGGCTGCAAGAGCACAACCCCGTCATCGACTGGACAACGGGATCGTGCAGCATCAGCAAGCACGAGGGGCTAATTAAACTGTCTGTATGGATACCCGACTACATCCAAGCCCCGTGCGTCAATGCCATTATTATTGCTCGCCACTTCAACCGAGGCGCACAGCTGTTCGCGGTATGCTTGCGCTAGTTGGCTTCCGACACCGCGAAAAGGACATCGAGAAGCTGTTCGCAGCTGTACCACCTGATTTGGCGTAACTGATTCGACAGTACCCGAACATCTTCCCCAACAATCTGCCACCTGGACTGCCGCCTGAACGCCTCGAGGACCACAAAATCCAGTTGGAACCTGGCACGTAGCCGAATGTTCAGACACAGTGGCGGTTGACCCAGCCGGAACTCGAGGTGCTGTGAAGACAAATCGACGCACTGTTGGAGAAGGGGTTCATCAGACCCAATACATCTCCCTTCGCAGCACCGATCATGTTCACACCGGAAAAAGACCGCAGGCTTCGGATGTGCATTGAGTATCGCGCGCTCAACCGGGTGACAATCAAGTTTTGCTACCCAATCTCACGCACCGACGACCTCCTTGACCAAGTTCGCGGCGCTCGCTATTTTTCGAAAATCGACTTGCGTGGCGGTTACCACCCGATTCGGGTCTTCACCGACGACTGTCACAAGACCGCGATTCGCACCCACTACGGAAGCTACGGGTACAGTGTGATGCCGTTCGGCCTCACAAATGCGCCTTTGACTTTTCAGTTGACCATGAACAGGGTTTTCCGGGATCTTCTCGACAAGTGTGTTATCGACTACTCAGACAGCACACTGGTATTTAGCAGGACACGGGAACAACACCTCCGCGACCTCGACGCAGTGTTTAAGCGGTTGTAGGAGAACCGTCTCATCACCAAGGGCTCTAAGTGCGATTTTGTTAAGTAGGAGTTGGAGTTCTTGGGGCACGTCATCTCACGCGACGACATTAGAATCGACCCGGCGAAAATCAGGACCATTCAGGAATGGAAGTCATCGAACATCATCACGGAGCTTCAGACTTTTCTGGGGTTTGTGAACTAAGTCAAGCAATTTATCCCGAATATGGCGAGGATAACCGGCCCGCTGACCGACCTGCTGCACAAGGATACGGATTTTGTGTGGGGGGAGGAGGTAGAGGCGGATTTTCTGGAGTTGAAGAATTTTCTCATTTCCCCTCCGGTTCTGCGCATCGCCGACCCATCGAAGCCGTTAATTCAAAGTCGTCACTGATGCCTCAGATTTTGTCATCGGCGTTGTACTTCTCCAGGATTTAAAAAACGCGCTACAGCTGAAAGCCTACGTGTCAGGCAAGCTGCATTCAATCGAGCGCAACTACCCAATACATGACAAGGAGACGTTCGCCATTATACACGAGTTCAAACTCTGGCGCTGCTATTTGGTGGGCGCCGACGTCACTGTTCGCACGGACCGACGTCACTGTTCGCACAGTACTTGCGAGCTCAGCCCAACCTCAACCCGCGAGAGATTCGGTGCCTGGACTACATGCAGCCACTTCACCTACCACCTCACGTACAAGAAGGGGGCGAATAACATCGCCGATGCCCAAACCCAACCAACAGTTTAATCCATTGCAATGCTCATCAACCATTCGAACCCGCTACTTACGGGACTATTCACCCACGGCTACACTACGGACCCGTTCTTCACGACTGGAAATCACCAGCAGGCGACGACGCAGAAGGGGAACTGTTACCTAAAGGCCAGAACTGACCGGATTTGGGTTCCCGCTTACCGGCAGCTGTGTGAACTCCTTATCCAGGAGATCCACAATTCTAATCTCTCCGGACATTTCGGGGTTGATAAAACCCAGAAGCTGTTGCACTGTCAATATGCTAAGCCATGAAATCGACGCGTCAATATGACGCGTCAGCGGTCAGCTGGATTGCTGCAACCCCTCGAGCCACTTGAACGACCGTGGCAACAGGTGACGATGGACTTTGTCACGGGGCTGCCAGCTGGGCCGTCCGGCAACGACGCTGTACTCGTCGTCGTCGATCGCCTACCGAAATTGGCACACATTGCACCATGTCATACTACAATCACAGCCGAAGAAACTATGCGCCTCTTCATCTCGACGGTCGTGCGACTGCACGGAATCCCCTCGGTGATCATCAGCGGCATGGATCCAAAATTCACGTCAAAGTTCTAAAAAGAGACATGGGCGCATTACAACAAGAAGCTACAGTTCTCGTCGGCATATTACCCGCAAACTGACGACCAAAGCGAGCGGACAAATCAGACGATGAAGCAGCTAATTAGGACAAGCTGCCCTGACCTCGCTCGCTAGGAAACTTTGCTCGCCATGCTGGAGTTCGCGTTCAACAACGCCCCAGCCAGCACGAATAATCACTCCCCGTTCCTCTTGAATTACAGGATGGACCACGTGGTGCCTACCACGACTACACTCGACAACCTGGTACCAAGGTCACAAACTTTTGTGACAGAACTACAGGAGATCCGCTAAAAGGCAGCCGACGCAATCCGCAAGGCTAATACCACTGCTCGAAAATACACTGATCTCCTACAATAAGAAACCATTATAACCGCTGGGCAACTAGTGCTACTCGACATGAAAAAACTTTGCCTACCCGGCCCGTCGAAACTACGGCTAAGATTTTGTGGGCCTTTCAAGATCATCAAGATGGTGACACCTGTCACCGCGAAGCTGCTGCTACCCGACGATTGGCGTGTCCATGACACGTTCCATGTCAGCCTACTTCGCAAGTTCGTGCCTGCCACGACAGACATCGCGCGCCAGAACGCCGCCTCGACAGTTCGACCTGTCATGGAACTGACACTCGACCCGTCTAAGATATTGGCGCATCGTGTTCGGCTCGACGCCTCTGGCCGCCACGTGGCTTTTTTAGTTCGTTGGACTGACTGCACCAATGAAGGCGACACTTGGGTGCCAGCCGCCTCGCTCGACGAGTGTCCGCTCGTTGGTGATTATCTCGCGCGCAGACGAGCTGCGGATATTGACCACCTTTCCTTACCGGGGTTTACTCAACCGCATACAACCCCAACTTTCGAAAGTGCACATTTGACCACTTTGCTTGCTGCCGAAGCAACCTCGCGTTGCCTTCAGCTTTCCATTGCCCAGCCTGCACCTAACCTCATGTTCCCGAGGCTCCCGCCTAGCTAGGTTGTCTCGCTATATAATCACGTGCCTCTCATTGTATTGTCAGTTCATTTAGTCACAAGCTTCGTTATTCGTTTTCCTCGCAACTCTGTTTCACAACTCATCACACCAAACGTGTGAAAAAACAATGTAATGGTTACCCTACTTGTTACATAGCGTGTAATGAATATAGAATTCATTACTGTAAAGGCTGTTCCTAGCGTCAGTGTGGCTCGGCCTACATTTTCGCACCGAACCAATGCCAAGTCGCCCATCACCAATCGCGACATTTCCGAGCCACGCACGTCACGCGGTTCTTGCCTAGCACGTATTCGCCCTATATTTGCTCGCTTTCTTCATTGTCTATTCATTCTGTGTGTCTCAACGAAACCAATTCCGTCGCTCCCGTTTTGCCCGTGGGAGCGACAAATCCGTCGCTCTCCCAGCGACAGGTCGGCGGAACTCAAACCCCACCAGCTGGGGCTTGTCGGAACCCTCAGCACGCGAGCCTAGTTCCCTGCCCCAGCTGAGCGCACCACCCCTCCCGCATGTTCTCTATCGGGGACACGGAAACCACCCTGGCCCCGCGAAAACAAATTCTCAGGCAATTCACCTTGCGAAGACAGATGCGAACACAAAAAGGCAGGCGAAAACAACAGGCCCTGGGAAAAACAACCCAAGCGACCCATACGAAGAAACGCAACCCACCTTCATGAAACAAAAGCCCCTGCGCGTTACAACAGACTGCCCTCGCCGAGTTCGCAATCGTCGCCCTTCGCAAGGCGTGAGCAAGGCGTGAAAGAGAATGGCTCATGCACGGTGTGACACGGCCATCTCCTCTCTCCTGCTGACACATGCCACTTTGTCGGTTGGCTTGAACCATGCACCAGCAGCTCGGCCTCGTCCAATCCCGCCCCTTCCCATGTTGCCACGTGTGCGCTCAGCAACCTCCGCGCACCATTGTAGATAGGGTTCGCGACTGACCATTGGCCAGCCAATCCACCCCTTGGCACGGCCAGTCCACACTTCGGCACGGCCACTCCACCCCTTCGCATGCCTCGACAAATGGACGAGATTCGTCACGCATGCCAACTGTGGACGTGACGGATCTTGCCTCGCTCCCGGACGTTGCTTGCGCTGGGGGGTATGTCAAGGACGGGAGTCTCATTCTTTCATTGGTTGCTAGGTTGTCCAATTTTCTTCTCCCCTTCTTCTCCCACCATCTTGCCTCCACCCTCTGGCGTGCCTCTTTACGGCCCTAGATCCCCCTTAGAGCGTTAAGGACCTTTGACGAGGTTTCCATTTTTGCTTCGTCACACGCGCAGTAGTAGTAGCATCGTAATCACGAGGTGTAGTGTATCGTTGCTTCTGCGTACGACGATGGTTGAACCTGTTGACACGATGTCCATGCAGGCCTTCAAGCCCTTCCGTTATGTGCCTTACCGCAATGTCTCGCTCTCTTTGACGGACCCCGATTATAACTCGCTGAACCCGTTGACACGGTGTCCATGCAGGCCTTCAAGCCCTTCCATTATGTGCCTTACCGCAATGTCCCGCTCTCTTTGACGGACCCCGATGGTTGAACCCGTTGACACGGTGTCCATGCAGGCCTTCAAGCCCTTCCGTTATGTGCCTTACCGCAATGTCCCGCTCTCTTTGACGGACCCCGATTATAACTCGCTGATGGACGAGAAAGTGGACTTCACTCCCGCTACCATGACGTTGGCACTGCTGTGAGTGTTTGCGCACGTTGTTTGTAGGGTTTAGGGCATCCAGCGTACACCGTGCAGAGGGTCAACTGGCTCATGTGCTGCACGCGAAAATGCTTGCAGGCACGTAGAGTCGACCGTGCAACCCAAGCTCAACACGCGACTAGTGCCCGCTGAGACCGTCAGCCGCAGGCTCGAAGACGGAGAGAAGTTCTGCATGCCTCCTATGATTCATCTTTGCGGCGGCGTTGTCATCGCCGTGCCCATCGTAACAACGTGAGTTGATTCGGTTCTTAGTAGCGGTGTTTTTTTCATGTTCAGCAGATGTTTTCTCACCTGTTGTGCAAGGAGAGCGCTGCCTAGACAGAACGACCGACATCGTTCCCCTTATTGGTTTTTGCCCTGCCACAGCATGGAGGAACTACCGGGCAGGCACTGCAGCCTTCTCCTTGTGGCACACGCTAATGATCTTTGGGAACTCGCGAGCGAGAACCGCACAGTGGTTTTCCATGTGGACCCGAAAGCCACACAGCGCTTCCACGATGTCGCTTTCAACACCGTGCACGAGTGAGTATGAAGTCGTGCTCTGATCGATTCGACAAACTGACACCCTCGTTTGTAATTGTCTTATGCAGGTGGATCATGAGCACTGCTCGTGTGCAGGCACTATCGAGCTTCGGCGGGGCCGGTTTCGAACGGCTGAAAGAGTCCGACATCGGCGAACGTTTTAAGAGGTGGAAGCATGTGGTTCATCTGGTGAGTGTGAGATGTAGCATACGCTACTGTTGCTTCGAGCCTATTCTTTGCATGATCGCTCACGAACGTATATCTTCCGCATGCGTGGGCTGCGCAGGATTGCGGTAATATGAGAGACACCACACCTATCACTGGCCTACGCGTGGCGGAGGTGTAAAAAACGTTCCTCGCCCGCATGGAAGCTGTCGTTGCCCAACCCTCGTCGTACGAATTGAAGTCCATGGGGCGCAAGGAGCAGAAGATGTTTCGTCGACAGATTGTGAGGGTATCGCGCTGGGGCAAAAGTTCGAAGGCGCCCTTTTGCAGCAAGGGACAGCAGCTTCTGTGGAGGGTGGGAAGGATGCTGGCGGAAATTCCGGGCACGGTGATGAGGGTCACGCTGGCGTGTCGTCGGTTATTACTCAGGCCGCGGGAGAGGTGACGTTGCACAAGGAAAATGTGGAATGGGGCAATCCCCAAGGGTGGCAAGGGGAAGCCGAGGGAGGTGGCTGAGGGGAGCAAGGGGAAGCCGAAGGAGGCATTGGCATTTGAGGGGAGCAGGGGAAAGCAGAAGGAGGTGTCTGAGGGGCATGAGTGGAAGAAGGAGAAGCGGAAGTTGAAGGAAAAGCTGGATAAGGAGAGGTGCGAGAAGGAGCGTCTGCGGGAGGAGCTGCAGAGTAAGGAGGCTGAGCTTGCGGAGGAAAAGGAGAAGGGTACCAAGTATCCGGAGGCTGAGCTTGCGGGCACACGAACCAGGTACTTGATAAGGCGGTGGAGGTTTCTCAAAACGCAGCGGCCACGCTGGATCGTTCTCGAGCAATTGAAGAGACCCTTGCCAAGGGCGTCGAGCATCTGGTGGGTGATCACACCAAGGCAGCGGCGAAGACACAGGAGACGGTGAAGTCTGTGGAAACGTCGCTTGCTGGTGTCGGAGACCAGCTCAAGACGGCCGCGGAAGGTGCCGTTGCGGGGCTTGGGCCGCAGGTCGACAAGGGTGTGAAGGCTGTTGCGACGAGTGCTGTCTCTGATGCAGCGAAAACCATGCAGGACGTTCTCGTCGAAGCTGTCAAGGGGGTGGTCAACAAGAAGCTGGAGGAGATTAAAGCCTCCATCGTCGCGCAGGTTGACAAGCGTGTCCGCGAGGCTGTCGCTGACTCCACCAACGGCTTGAAGACGGAGATCGTCTCCATGGTTAGGGAGACGACGAGACGGGCCTTTGGCGAAGCTGGATTCGCCGCTCTTCCAAGCGTTTTTGGAGCCGCAACAGCTTTGGCACGCCAAGGTGGAGGAGGGGGTGCTGGCGCGAAGCATCCTTGTGGGGATGATGGGAGTGATACGCGTGGCAGGATGGCAGCAGATACAGTCTACAGCAAAGTCGCGCGGCTGAAACGCTCGAAGGCTGGCGGGCTGGAGAAGAGTGTGGGGGACGTTCCATCGAAGCAGGCATCTCGTGCGGAGAGTGGTGTTGCGCCTTTGCACATAGACCCCACCTTGGGCACACCGGTGGGGCGTGCAGACGCTCGGGCCAACATTGGGGCGTCCTTGCCGTCGCAAGGTTTAGTTGCGGTCGGTGCTGGCAGGGTGCATGGTGCGCAACCACCAAGCGGAGGTGGCATTGTGTTGGGCCTTCCAACGAGGCCTCTCGCTGGCCGTGGGGGTGTGGAGAAGACTAGTGCAGAAGGCGCTGTTCAAGGGGCGGCGCCGCGGACCCAGTAGGTGCCGGGGGGCCCGCAAGGAGACGTTCACGATTTCCTGGCAGGGATGCGAGCCGCCATGGAAACGGGTCGACAACAGCACCCGGTAGATGACCAGGAACTTGCGGCAATCTGGGCGGGATTGCATGAGCTCCAGCCCATGGGCGGTCACCATGCGCATGCACATCCTCAGCGCCCCGTAGCCTCCACACCTGCTGCGGACGACGACGCACCTGGAAGCGGGGCTATACCGGCCGAGGGTCAACTCAGCTTCCCTCCGGACTTGTTCGATGTTCATCTTGGGGAGGCTGATACGTATGCATAGGAGTGGCAGGTAGGTCATGGCGATGCGGATGGCGAAGCGGAGGAGTACGTGGAGAACGAGGAGAATGAGGAAACGGAAGGCCTCCAGGTACATGGTGACGCAGAAGGAGAGGAAACTGATGGCACGGCTGGTGGTGCTTTGGCGGAGGTTGAAGGGGGCAGGGGTCGCAAGGGGAACTCGCCTGGATGGACCGGCGACATTATGGGTGGAGGTTGCTCCCGCTACCTGGGCTACTCGTTGGAACGGGCGGACGTGGAGTTCACAGTGTCCGTGGCCATGATTGTGTGGGACGGATACGTCTCGAAGGTGCTGTGGGACGCCTACAAGGAGGGCCACACCCCTGGAACTCCCCCATCGTGGCCCGAGCAATGGGCATTGGCTAAGGGACTTCCGAAAGGCCTGTGGACATGCATGTGGTCTCATGCCATCTGCGGCGACAAAGACATGTGAAGATTCCTTGCGGATGTTTTTGAAATTTTTACTACTGCGGATGTTGAGATCATATGCTTCTACACCCTCTCCGACCTCTTTACCCATGTCTCGTAGGCTGACCAAGTTTTTCACACACGTCACAGCGTATCAGAGCGATGGTTTGGACTTCCAGCCCGCTGTGTGTCTGGCCGTCGGTGCCATTGCGGCCAGCGCGGAGGCGCTTGACATGAAGGCTGCTGTCGCGTATGGGGTCACCATCGTGTCAACTGTCGCCGCCGCTTGGTACTTGGTCTCACACAGGGCTCTACAGTTCGCGCAAGCTTGCCAGTGGGCTGTGGGCGTGGGGAAGAAGCTTGACCGAGCCAATGCCTTCCCGAACCTCTCGGACCAGTTGCTGAAGGTCATGGAGGCGGTCATGCTTGCTGTGAAGCTCGCGGGCGAAGAGGAAGGTGCGCTTGCGAATGGGACGACCTTCATCAATCAGGTCACTACGCAGGCTCTAACGATGGTGAACATGTCGGAGGATCCCTGGGGGAAGTTCATTACAGGTGAACTTCTGCATACCTTGGCCTACTAGGCCGACAGCCTGTACGGACGTGCTTCCATACAGGCAGTCGGCATGGTGGTTCCACTTTCGGAGCTCATGACGAAGCTCATCGTGTACAGGATGAAGCGCACCTACAAGTTCAACAAGTGGGTAATTCCCAGATATGCGCCGACACGAGGTCGCGCACGCGGTGGTCGCGTGGGCCAGCAGCAGGGAGGTGGTCGCATGGGCCAGCAGCAGGGAGGTGGTCGCTTGGGCCAGCAGCACAGATAGTGCACCACACGTCGAGGGTGGATCACTCTGGGCTTGTTAATGGGGTGCACGGGGTGTTGTTAGTATTTGCCCAGGAGGTGCTTGGCTAGTAACCCATATATTTATATATTTATTTTAAATGCAATTCTTCTGGTTTCTCTGCGTGTACTAGCTTCGACGGAAAATACATGTTCTTGTACTCGTTACACGTGGCACCCGAAATTTAGAACTGCCCGCCGAGCCTGCTGTAGTTGTCGCATACCTATAAATAGGCCCATCAAATCACTCGTTCGTCCTCATTTCTCATATTGGATTTGCGAAACTGCTCTTTCTTCGGTCTGCTTCTGATGGCTACATGGAGTGTGAGGGTTTATGCCCATACTGACAGTCAGCACCTTCTCACGCGTGACGAGGTTACGCGGATGAGGAATGATACACAGGAGCTCAGCGAGGTTTCCCTCGAGATAGGCCTCTTGTACGTACGAGGACGTTTGTGCATTGGTACGTGCTTCCACAGGACCCTAACAGATGGACTTCCCTTTTTCAGGTGGGCGTGTGCGCATTCTTACGTTTGATGAATATGAGACGATTTACGTAAATCATGGACGGGTGTATCTCCCGAATATCAACGTCCTCAACTACGACGAAGTTGTGGTCCCGGTGTGGAACGTGTGAGTGGCATGCTTCGTTTTGGAACATGTACGGATGATGCCCGAAGTTGAACATACCCCTTGCATGCTCTTTTCTTATGCAGGTGGCGTCACGGGGGAGAGTCGCGCCTGTGCGCGCTCTATGTCGTTACCCGTCCGTTTGATGTCTTGAAACCGGAGGGAGAGGAAACGCGCGTCCGCAGCTTCTTCCTGGATCCCAAGCGCATGCGCACAAGCAGTGCCTTCTTGGGGATGGGCCCGTTGTGGGACTGGATGTTACGGTGAGCTTTCACATGGGGTTTTGAAGGGGTTGGCTGAAACGGTGCATGAGTTAACCCTCTTCATGTGCTGATGCAGATGGTTTAGCACTCAGGTGCGTCGTGCATTTTATTTACGCGCGCAACCTCCTCCCACCAATTGACGTGGTTGAATACCGTATGCGCAACATGGAAGTCGATGTGGATCTGTTCCATGAGGAGCCATTTGTTGAAAGCCCCGTTTCCGAGGTCTGATCCGTGTGTTTTCTGCACGATACGGAAGGCTTCATTGCGCGACTCCGCCGCGGGGACTTCTATTCGACGACGGATGCGGTTGGTTTAGGTAACATTCGTGCGCAGATGGCTATTTTTGCCGAAGGCCTCCTTTCTCAGGAGATGTACAGCGTCTGTTACGCGACGCCAGAGAATGATGTATCCCAGAAGAATGGTGTGACCACTTCGGATGTCTCTACCGAAGATTCCATGCCCTCGCTAGCAAACGATGATGACGTGTAGGAATCAATGTTTGCAGTCGGTTACGTTTATGTTGGAAACCTATTGCGGAGGAAGCATGTAGAAGCATGGACATTGCTGTGTATGGGAAGTGCTCTTGAACCAGATACTGATGCATCATTGAATATGTACTAGAATTTATGAACCATGCGCACGATGAAAACAAACACGGGAAGCATTACAGCATGTCTTGTGAACCGTGTCTCTGTGTGTTTTTTTTTTTAAACGCGTGTACCTTTTTAGGTGTTACAACAATGGTTCCTTTAAGTGTACATCGTGAAAGATGTTCCGAAGTTAGAAAACAATATTCCAAGTCATGCATCATATTGCATATGTACAAGAAGTTTCGAAACATGTGCACGATGTAAACAACCGTGCGCAAGTACAATAGTCATCACATGTTAGCAACCTTTTGGCGCTTCTTTGCTGACGCCTTTCCTGCCTTTTGGGGCTTCAGGGCAGGGAACTTGTCCCACGTTGTAGGGAACTTTGTCTTGAGCCAGTCCTTCGTCCGCAGCTCCGTCTCAACGAGCATCCGCGCAACCTTCAGCTGGTCATGTTGCGTAGGCGTGAATGCCTCCAGTCCATCGTCCCCAACTGGCTCGACCTTCCCGGCCATCTTGACGACGCCGATGTCGTCTGTGAACGTGCTCCATCCCCCGATTCGCCCGAGAATGGACTCCAGCTTCTGGATAACCTTCGTGGTTTCCCCAAGTGCCTCCACCGCGTCCATCACCCTCTTTACCCGCCGCATTTGTGCAATAATCCCGCCCACGCTTTTGGAGCCACCGTCGTAGGAGTGGTGTTTAACGAAGCAGGTGTCTTTCCCATAGCGGTCTCGCAGGCGTCTTTTGTCGCCGCGTCCTTGGAGGTTCCACAGCACCCATGCGTGCTCCATGGATTGACACTTCCTCCATGGTGCCACGATATCCTTCTCGTACGCAGCGTCAGCGGGCTACTGGGGTTCCACCTTTGGGGCCCCTTGGTCAGGCGGGGGTGACAGGCTGGAGACATCCGAGGGCGGGCATGTTCCTGCTGCACGCTGTTCAAGTAACGCACGCAGGCGTGCGATTTCAGCGTCCTTTTCCGCGATGACAACATCCTTTTCCGCGATGACATCATCATTTTGCATGAGAAGGTCCTCCTTCGCCTTGTTGTCTTCTTCCAACTTGCGGATGGTCCGAGATGCCTTGTTGGCCTTCGCAGCCGTTTTGACAAGCAGGTGATCCAGCTGTGACCGCAGACACATGACGGTATCATCGGCGTCATGGCGGGCCGAAAACTCCTGCGCAATCAGGTCGTTGTATATCACAGTGTGAGCACGTGCGGATGGTTCTCCACAATCGCAAATTTCAATTCTTCACACGAAGTGAACATGACGTACCGCCTCTGTTGTTTCCGTGGGATTTCTCCTCACCTTCGATGCCTTCTCCTGGGTGTGGAACACGTCGTGCGCCCATTTGCGGAACTTGGTGTTACGGCACAGCGATGACGCTTGTACGTACGGGTGGTGCGGTGTCTTGTACAGCATCATCACCAGGTCCTAAGCCAAGATTTTACGGCCAAGCTTCCTCAAAGTCCGCAGGAAGTGAGGTCCAGCACTGTCATCCTGACCCTTGACCTTGTTGTAGGCAGATGCCTGAGTAGGGTACGCGGAAGATATTTCAACAAATTGGATTAGCTGCTCAGATGGATCGAAAGTACGCACCACTTGGGTTAGCCACTCACCGCTGCTTCTTGCTCCTCGATCCACGGGAAAATGTGTTTCTTGACCAACTCCTTCACTGAATCCGTCATGGGAATGGAGTCTCTGCCCAGGAAGTAGTTGCCTTTGGAGCCGGTGAAACCAGCTTTCACCAAAACACCCATGCGCGGGATCGACGTGAGGTAGCACCTGTTCATCTTGTCGATGGACCAGTGCCCCATGTTGGTGATCTCAGCCTGCGGCACACCCTTGAGTGCCAGCTCTTGTGCTCCCCCCGGACGAGTTGCGTGGACGACCCGTCTCATGGTTACCCCATTTGTGCTCCACATCTCCTTTGTGAAGCGCAAATGAGTTGACGCAGGGGTTGGTCCTTGCTCCTTGTTGCGTACGGGGAAGAAAAAATGCTTGTGGTACCATTTCTCGGGCGCGGTGAAGTCCAATGCAGGCGCAACTGGTTGTCCGAAAGCTTCCTTGGCAAGGTTGTAAGCGAAGTGCAGGTAAAGCATGAAGTTTCTCACCGCGCACATCTCGTTGTCTTCGTGTCGTGCTGCGTAATATTGCTTGGCATATCCTTCCTTGTTGGTCTTGGAGTGCCGCGACGACACGACCATGATGGTTGACTTGCGCGTTGGGTTTTTGCGGGAGGTGCTGTCCAGCTTCTGCATCTAGATGTCCGGAAGTTCAATACTTTGCACGCTGCCTCCTCGAAGAAGCGTGTGGTGGCCGAGCAGCGTCATCACTTTCATGAGGAGGATTTTCCATAGTTTCTGCGACACTGCTTTGCGACATTTTCTCCACGCCATCCCAGCCCAGACGAGAAGCACCTTCCGCATGGTCCTGCGTATATCCTTCTCCGAGTACGTGTCACTGAAACTTCCGTGGTGTCGGTCCACGCAGTCCCTGCGACAAGGTTGCAAACAATTTTAGTGGTAAGGAAACTTTTTGTTAATACCTCATGCCTAATGAAAAGCGCTGCTTTTGTACTCACTTGTGGTTTTTGTGTCATTTGTCGCGGACTTTGAGCTTGAGCTGTGCAGGGCCTTCTCACCAAAAAGCACAGCCTCCACTTTGCACAGGTGTGACAATGCTTTCACCGACATCACGTACATGTGGACAGTGCAGTCGCGCAGCTTTTGCGTACGTTTCTTCTGCGAAGGCTCCCTTTCCTTCTCCGTCTTCTGATGAAACTCCGCCGCTTTTGCCACAGTCAACTCAGATTTCCATCGAAGGAACGTTTCCACACGCAACGGGGTCGTGCGCGGGCCATGCAACCACGACTTGTCTGGTTCCGCCGTCCTCCAATCTTTTCCCTTCCCCCTTCCAAGGAATATGCCAACCTCGTCTTGTTCAAGCAAAATAGCATCGACTTGGAAACCTTCCGTTGACTCAGTCATGAGGAACGCGCACGCTCTCTCTTTGTACTCCCTATCCGCATTCAGGTAGAACACGTAAGTGGTGCCTTGTTGAAGATTACCGAACATCTTGGCTGCCTCAACTACCCTCGCCCTCTTTGACGTGTTGGACATCGTTTTGGTGATGTCCAACGCTGCTTCGTCAAACGCCTCGCGTGGGATGCGCATGGCCTCCAGGTGATCTTCCTCCAGCTCCCAAAGCGAAAATTCGTCCTATATGTACTGTTCTTCAATCTCCGTGAGAGGTTCTGCCGGTCTCGTAGCTTCGTCATCAGAATCTTTGTCCTCTGTGTCGGATTTCTCATCGTCACTGTCCTCAACCTCTATACTTGGTGCCTGAGGAACTTTTTTGCCGAAATCCGGTAAAACCACGTTGTCGAGATCGGGTGCATCATCGTCTGCCTCTGCAGGGGAACTCGTAGTTGCGGTTTGTTATGCAGGGGTACTCGGAGTTGCAAGAGTTGCGTGTCCTGGTGTGACATCTGTAGCCCTTCTCCGAGGTGGTCCCGCTTGTGCGCGCGATGTGCTCAGTGCAACATCTGCTGCTTCTGCAGGTTGACTCGGAGCTGCAGAAGTTGAGGGTCCTGGTGTGACATCTGTAGCCCTTCTCCGAGGTGGTGCTGCTCGTGCGCACGATGTGCTCGGTGCAACATCTGCTGCTTCTGCAGGCGGGCTCGGAGTTGCAGAAGCTTGTGCATCATCTACGGTTTCCTCCGCGGGTGGTGTCTGGGGTGCGTGTGTAGTGTCCTCTGCCATGGGTGTCGACATGGTGGTTGGTAAGCTATCACACCATCCACATGAGCCGAGTGAACCAATCGTTTCTGGCGTCTAAGGGGGAGGTGAGGGGGCTTGGGGGATGGAGGAAGAGAGTTTGATGTGGCACTATAGGGTTTTACAAACGAAGTGGAAGAAATGAGAGAATGACCACCTCCCCTCGGACCCTCTGGTTGGGAACCCCGATGCGTGGCGCTCTCGCCTGTCCTCCCGCCAGTGAAGGCTCGGCCGAGCCTCGACCTAGTGCATGCGTAGCCCAGATTTATGACACGTCTACGTGTCGGCAAAGCATGCACACCTTCTCCCCGTGTTTTTGATGGCTCGGCGTGCGGGTGCCGAGCCATCAACGATGGTACGTGCGCACGACACGGTCGTCCAATAGAAGATGGCCACCGTGGTCATTGGCCGACCATTCGCGATCCGGAACACATGTCGCGCAGGCAGAGCGAGTTGAACCTTTCGCATACAGTGGTGCCGTGTAACCTGGTTCGGCGCGCGGGATTTACACACGTCGCCACGACGTTGCTCGTTTATATTCGCGCGTTCGCCTCTTCCAATGGTTACTCGCCAAATGTTGCAAAATCCTAAACCCGTTGAGATGTATTCTCGGGGTTTTCTCAACGGATTTTGCACCCGTCGGTCCCGTCGCTCGCCCCTGCCTGTCGAGCAGCAGTTTGCCACCCATTCCGGCACTGTCCGTCGTTGGTCCCAAGAGGGGCCAGGTGTTTCCCCTCCATCCAAACCTTCGCGTTGAGATGAACCACTCTGTAATCAAATTCTTTTATAGAAGTCTTCCGCGCACTCTGTTTAGTACAACTCATAACATAGCGTCACAAATGTTACCGTTCGCATAATTTAGCGCCATAATTAGGGTACATGTGTTGACGTCCGCGTCGACGCCCGCGTTGTTCACCGGTCGAGGAGACGCAGGCCGAGAGGGGTGCTCCGTCGCCCACACGACGCGGATGCCAGCCTCGACGACCGCCCAGGGGATGTCGTCGTACTCGTTGGCCTTGTGCTTTCTCCTCGCGTTTTCCAGCCGTGCCTCCAGGGTGTCCACCACCCCTGCGTCACCTACGGCTCCTACCATAGTGACTACCGCACAGCTGCTGGTCTACGAACACGATAGGGAAGTGCAAAGACAGCTAGACTAGATTACGTCGCGGTGTTGTCCACGCTCACCGCACCATGCGGAGATAACTCGTGCAACGGGAGCTAGACTACGGGCTAGGCACGGGGTAGGAGTGATCGTAGCGTTCGTTCCTTAGTCGTTTCCAAGTGCTAACACTGCTTGCTAGTTCACGGGGAAAATTGGCAAGAGTTTCACTAGGAAAACATGAGAACAAAAGTTCAGAATGATTGCATCAACATTGGCAACACAGACTACATCAGACCTAGCAAGGCTGCTGGTCGACTGCCAGCGCAGCATGGTCGACCGCGTGCCAGCACGACTTGGTCGACCGCGCTCCAGCAGAGCAGAGTCGCGGCTTGCCAACGTTGCAAGTCCGCGGTGTGCCAACGCTGCAGTAAGTCGGCTGCACAGCGTTGCATCCGCGGGACAACGGTGCACCTGCTTCGCAGGTGCGTGCAGCTGGTTGGCGCCCAACTCCCTATCACATGCCCAGCACAGACACTCCACCCGTGACGGCGCCCACCAGCCACGTCGACCTCAGGATACCACCCCCGAGGTCATCCCGGCGACCTTCACACACGTCGCCCGGGTATCCTAGTCGACCGGGTATCCCACGGCCCCCATGGTCCCCGGTCGTCCACCCGCGGCCACCGCGGTCCCCGAAGTCCCGTGGTCTCCCGCGGCCCTCCCGCGGTCCTACCGCGGTTCCGTGGTACCCGCGGTCCTCCCGCAGTCCCGCGGCCCTCCCGCGGTCCCGCGGTACCCGCGGTCCTCCCGCGACACCGCGGTACCCATGGTACTCGCGGTTCTCCTGTGGTCCCGCGGCCCTCCCGCGGTCCCGCGGTCCCCGCGGTCCTCCCGCGGCCCCGCGGTCCCCGCGGTCCTCCCGCGGCCCCGCGGTACCCGTGGTCCTCGCGCGGTCCTGCGGTCCCCGCGGTACCCGCGGTCCTCCCGCGGTCCCGCGGTTCTCCCGCGGCCCCGCGGTTCTCCCGCGGCCCCGAGGTGCTCCCGCGGCCCCGCGGTTGGCTTCGCCCAAGCGAGGACGGGGCCAAACACTGGGGCCCGTTGACATTGTATACGTGATGGCAGTACCCGATGTTCATTATGCCACGATGAACCGTAATCTTGTCGCCGAGCTGGATGATATGCGCAACACGATGTCGATACTGCAGGAGAACCAAGCGGCAACGGCCCAGATTGAGCAGGAACGGGATGCGCTTCATGAGGAGGTAGCCGTGCTGCACGCGAAAATTCGCATGCTCCAATCGAGGTCCATCGACGGAGTGGAAGCTGTGGACTTTGATGATCCACAAATCGACAGGGAGAAGCTTCCAACGGTCGACGGGAAGATCCACATCCCGACCATCTTGTCCGATGACCAGATCTTCGCAGTGAGTCGTTTGTACCTGTTACGGCTGCTGTGTTTTGTTGACGTATGTTTAAAATTCAGTACACCTATTCGTTCTCCATTTTCTCGTTCTCTGACGCAGAAGAACGCTCTCCACGTGTAC